GCACAAATCCAAACCCCTGTGTGGAAAGCCTGGGGTGGTGTTCTCTTTCTTCCCACAGGACTCCCTGCAGCCAAGAATTCTAGGGGAGCGCCTGATGCGAGGTGAGGAGTATAGAGGCATGCCTTGTGTTGGTGCACATGCTTTACTGTGTTTTTAACAAATTGAAGGTCTGTGGCAACTCTGCCTCGAGCAAGTCTATTAAGTTCATTTGCCCAATGGCATGCGCTCACTTCATGTTTCTATGCCACATTTGGGTGATTCTCATATTTCAAACATTTTCATTATTATTATATCTGTTATGGTGATCCGTGATCAGTTATCTTTGATGCTACTATGGTAATTGTTTTGGGACACCACAAACTGCAGCCATCTAAGTTGCAGAACGTAATCCGTAAATGCTGCATGTGTTCTGACTGCCCTGTAGACCAGCTGTTTCTTTGTCTCTCTCCCTCTCCTCGGTCCTCCAATTCCCTGAGACAACAATATTGAAATCAGGCCAACTGATAACCCTACAACTGGCCTCTAAGTTTCAAGTGAAAGGAAGATTTGTATATCTCTCAGTTTTGTGGGTTTTTGTTTGTTTTTGAGATGGAGTCTCACTCTGTCACTCAGTTGAGTGCAGTGGTGCAATCTTGGCTCACTGCAACCTCTGCCTCCCAGGTTCAAGCAAGTGTCCTGCCTCAGCCTCCTGAGTAGCTAGGATTAAGGCACCCACCACCATGTCCACCTAATTTTTGTATTTTTAGTAGAGATAGGGTTTTACTATGTTGGCCCGGCTGGTCTTGAACTCCTGACCTCAAGTGATCCACCCGCCTCAGCCTCCCAAAGTGCTGGAATTACAGGCATGAGCCACCACGCCCCACTACATCTCTCAGTTTAAATCAAAAGCTACTAGTGATGAGCCTCAGTGAAAAAGGCACATAGAAAGCCAAGATATGCCGAACAGTTTTCCAAGTTATGAATACAAAGGAGAAGTTCTTAAAGAAAATTAAAAGTGCGACTCTAGTGAATACACTAATGTTAAGAAACAAAACAGCCTTCTTGCTAACATGAGAAAGTCTGAGTGGTCTGGATAGACGATGTAACCAGCCACAACATTCCCTTCAGCCAAAGTCTAACTCAGAGCAAGGCCCTTACCCTCTTACACTCTGTGGAGGCTCAGAGAGGTAAAAAAGCCACAGAAGAAAAGCTGGAAGCGAGCAGAGGTTGGTTTATGAGGTTGTTTTTTTTTTTTTTTTTTTTTTTTTGAGACGGAGTTTCGCTCTTGTTACCAAGGCTGGAGTGCAATGGCGCGATCTCGGCTGACTGCAACCTCCGCCTCCTGGGTTCAAGCAATTCTCCTGCCTCAGCCTCCCAAGTAGCTGGGACTACAGGCGCACACCACCATGCCCAGCTAATTTTTGTATTTTTAGTAGAGACGGGGTTTCACCATGTTGACCAGAATGGTCTTGATCTCTTGACCTTGTGATCCACCCACCTCGGCCTCCCAAAGTGCTGGGATTACAGGTGTGATCCACCCGCCTCGGCCTCCCAAAGTGCTGGGATTACAGGCGTGAGCCAATGCGCCCGGTGGTTTTTGAGGTTTAAGGTACGAAACCGTTCTGTAACATAGAAGTGCAAGGTGAAGCAGCAAGTGATGATGGAGAGGCTGCAGTAAGTTATCTAGGAGACCTAGCTGAGGTCATTGATGAACCTGGCTACACTAAACGACAGATTTTTAATGTAGACAAAACAACCTTCTATTAGAAGAAGATGCCATTGAGGACTTTCATAGCTAGAAAGGAGAGAATTCAATGCTTAGCTTCAAAGTTTGATAGGACACGCTGACAACTAGGTGCTGATGAAGCTGGTGATTTTAAGTTGGAATCAGTGCACGTCTACTCTTATAAAAATCACGGGACCCTTAAGAATTACGCTAAATCAACTCTGCCTGTGCTCTATAAATGGAACAAAGCTGGGATGATAGAACTGCTGAATACATCATGGCTTACTGAATATTTTAAGCCTGCTGTTGAGACCCACTGCTCAGAAAGAAAGATTCCTTTACAAATATTACTGCTCATTGACAATGCACCTGTTCACCCAAAAGCTCTGATGAAGATGGGCAAGGAGATGAATGTTGTCTACATGCCTCATAATACAACATTCATTCTGCAGCCCAGGATCAAGGAGTAATTTCTACTTTCAAGTCTTTTCGAAGGCTAGATAGCTACCATAGATAGCTATTCCTCTGATAGATCTGGGAAAAGTAAATTGAAAATCTTCTGGAAAGGATTCACCATTCTAGGTACCATTAAGAACATTTGCCGGCTGGGCGTGGTGGCCCATGCTTATAATCCCAGCACTTTGGGAGGCTGAGGTGGGTAGATCACCACCAGCCTGGCCAACATGGCCATTTCTACTAAAAACACAAAAATTATCTGGGCTTGGTGGTGCACGCCTGTGATCCCAGCTACTCAGGAATCTGAGGCAGGAGAATTGCTTGAACTTGGGAGGCAGAGTTTGCAGTGAGCAGAGATCACGCCATTGCATTCCAGTCTGGGAGATAAGAGTAAAACTCCAAAACTCCATCTCAGACACACACACAGACACACACACACACAGACAGACACACACACAGACACACACACACACACACACACACACACACTTCATGGGAGAAGGTCAATATATTAACATTAATGGGAGTTTGGAATAACAGGAGTTTGGAAGGAGTAGATTCTAACCCTCATGGATGACTCTGAAGGGTTTAAGACCAGTTCAGGAAGGCACTGCAGATGTGATGGAAAGAACAAGAGAACTAGAATTAGAAGTGGAGCCTAAAGATGTGGCTGAATTGCTGCAATCTCAGGATAAAACTTGAATGTATGAGGAGTTGCTTCTGATGAATGAGCAAAGAAAGTGGTTACTTGAGATGAAATCTATTCCTGGTGAATATGCTGTGAACATTGTTGAAACAAAAAGGATTTAGAATATTACATAAACTTATTTGATAAAGCAGTGGAAGGGTTTGAAAGGATTGACTCCAATTTTGAAAGAAGTTTTACTGTGGGTAAAATGCTTTCAAACAGCAACAATACTACAGAGAAATCTTTCATGAAAGGAGGTCAGTTGATGCGGCCAACTCCATTGTTGTCTCATTTTAAGAGATTGCCATAGCCACCCTAGCCTTTAGCAGTCGCCACCCTGGTCAGTCAGCAGCCACCAACATCGAGGCAAATCCCTCCACCAGCAAAAATCTTACATCTACATCTGAAGGCTCAGATGACTGCTATTTTCTAGCAATAAAGTATTCTCAAATTAAGGTATGCACATTTTTTTACATAGTGCTATTGCACACTTAGCAGACGACACTATAGTGTAAAGGTCACTTCTATATGCACTGGGAAACCAAAAACATGGTCTGCCTTGCTTTATTGCAGTGGTCCGGAACTAAGCCTGAAATATCTTTGATGTTTGTCTACAAAAGAAAACACACACTGACTTTATAGTTTTTGAAGTTCAACCCAGAGATCAGTGAGTTTGCAGAGCTCAAACATCGAGCAAGAGTAGCTGGCATTCCATGACCACCACATCATCATGGATTTGCAACTGGAAAGATTCCAGCGAGTGAAAAGTTTCTTGATGAATTTTCCTGTTAGATTTTCTTAAAGAAAAGGGCAAGAAAATCTATAACTTAGCATCCCAGCAAGATCATGAAAGAGAACGATTTTTTCCTAAATGTATTTATTTTAAAAGGCTAGTGAAATAAGAACTAGGGGTTTGGAGCTATATGGCTTGGGTTTGAGTTCCGGCTTTGCTGTTTCCTGAAAGGTGCTCTTGAGTAAGTTACTTACCTGTGTCTCAGCTTCTTCCTTTGCAAGATAAATGATAAGAGTAGTATTTCCAAGAAAGAGTTATTGTGAAAATGAAATGCGATTATACTCTTTACATGCTTAGAAAAATGCCTAGCATAGAGAAAGCCTCAATTTTTTGAAACTTGTTATTATTTCTTCTACTTACCATAGATATAAGGTAATAATTGATAGCAATAGTCATTGATTTCACTAAAAAACTTTACAAAATATAAAGCTGATAACATAAGTTTAACTCTTGGAAAATGTATTATAATTCTTCATGTAATTGTTAGCCTCAACTTTGTTCAATTAAAGTCTGTTCTAATGCATGAGTCCTGCTAAGCAATGCCTCATGTCACATTGAGGTGGACCAAGAAAAATTCCACATAGTTAAGCACAACAGAAAGAAACACTGATTTCAGACAGATGATTAGGTATAATAGTGTGATCCCAAATTTTGAGAGCTGTGGAGAAATAGAGGGCCGGGGAGGAGACAATATCTGTGTGTAGGTGTGGAGAGGAAGAGGAGGAGAGAATGTTGATTTAAGATGTTCTGAGAAGGTCAGCAAGTCTTCCTAAGAATCCGGTGACCAGGAACCTCCTGCCACTGGATGATCAAAGGAAAGATGGTGATTTTGTAATCCTCTGCAGATTGCCTCTGACACAAATACATGCATAAAAATCCTAAGTCTGTGAAAATGTATTTTCAAGATACTTGAAGTTAATCATTTGTTAAGAGAAAGATGATAACATCTTCATCTTGAGATTTATTAAAGAAATAACTCAAATGAATGCTATCCTAAGACATTATTCCATACTGAATTTGTGTGTTTCCCTCTGTCTAATAGATTATGCAATATCATCCTGAAAATATAGGTCTGGGCAATGTAAATTACATAGCAACCTGCTCTCAGGAATACTGGAGCAGCCTATGAATTACAAAAGCATTGAAGCAATAGCGGTTTTTCCTTTTTTTTGTAAGATGATTCTGACAAGGAAATGTTTATCCTTTCACACAAAAGGAAGGTGAGCCTCTTAAAACTCCACAGTTAAAAATAATAAACGCTGTAGGTTTTAGGATCCTTATCTACAGTAGCTTGCTTTATGGAGGTGGTAGCTTTGAGGATGACAGAACTCTGAGTTTATATAACACAGAAAGATTACCTGTCCCAGGGATTGCCAGTCCAAACCTGCACTGCCGATATATACATGTTGTTTGTCCACGATCCAGAAGGAGGACTGCAGCCGGCCTTTGTTGTAAGCGGTCATGTTCATGTACGTCACCTCGGCTCCTAGGAGTTCAAGGAGAGCCTGGTCAGCCTCTGCATCAAGGCCCTACCAGGGCTGTCAGTCACCTACCAGCAGCAATACTCATGGTTCTCCATTTGTCCCAATTGACATTTAGGAAAGCTAAATATTTACGTTAGTTTGGTGGAAAGAAGGTCCCCAAGGTACTATTTTGTTCCCTAAAACAAAGAACATTAAAAAAAAAAAAGAAAAAAGAAATGCCTTTTCCTATGCCTATGGCAGAGGAAGTTTTGTATATAGTGACAAGACTATGGCTTCTCAAGTCAGACAGATCTGTATTGAAATCCCGGCTCCACCACTTACCATCTGGATGGTGAGATAGGTACACCATATGCAGTTTTCTCTTCGAGTAATTTTAATACAGTGTGCAGGATCAGTCTTGTTCAGTATCACAGCTCTCCTCAATAACACACTGGCCTTATTATGCTTTCTATGCATTATTCATCCTGTAACCCTTTCACTTGCCTTTACTTCTTCATTTCTTCCATTTATTATTTAATTTGGGTTTGGTCTCTTCTTGGTCTTTATCTGATAGTTCTTTATTTTGAGACAGAGTCTTGCTCTGTCGCCCAGGCTAAAGTACGACCTCAGCTCACTGCAACCTCCACCTCCCAGGTTCAAGTGATTCTCCTGCCTCAGCCTCCTGAGTAGCTGTGATTACAGGCACACGCCACCCCACTCAGCTAATTCTTGTGCTTTTAGTAGAGATAGGGTTTTATCATGTTGGCTAGGCTGGTCTCGAGCTCCTGAGCTCAGGTGATCTGCCCACCTCAGTCTTCCAAAGTGCTAAGATTACAGGTATCTGATAGTTCTTAATTTAAGCAATGATTATTCAAGCTTTACTGAAGTGCAAACCTGAATGGTCAACTAAATCACTCAGAGCATTGTTAACACCAAAAATATATTTGAAGAGCTGAATGTGACCAATTATTTTAGGCTTTAGGATCCAGTGTCAAGCCTTTATGTATTGCTGCTTAAAATGCATTCACAAATTTCTCAAAAGGAACACACAGTCCATTTAATGCAAGGGCATTTAAATAAATTTCTGCTAAAGTTCTCTCCTCTTTAAAAGAACAGACCTATATGCATATAATTAGTGAACTAAGCTATTCTGTCTTCAGATATTCACTATGAATGAAGACTATATATTCCAGGGCGCACTTCACTGTGAGAGCCTTCATTACCAGAGGCACACAGAAGACTGTGTGGAGAAGGATGCATGTCAAGGTATCAGAAAGGAAGGAGAGCAATTTACAGTATGAACTTAATGCTTAACTCTTAGAAAAATGTAAATGATGCATCTATCTTCCTTGTGGCAGGAGGCTGAAAAGAGATGTCATAAGGTTGGGAGAGAATCTCTCAGGGAAAGCCAGCACCCAGGCAGATTTTCCCTGAGGGTAGAGCAGTTTCTTTATCTTACAAGTGACGGGCACATCATTCTCTGCCTCCAGCCATCCTGGAATAGTAGCATCTAAAAAAGAGCTGCAGATCCTAGAGGAGGAACTGTTGGGTATGGCAGAATCTGAATGTCCAAAATGGGTAGATACCACGGCAGGTATGCGGACACCCGAATCTGCATGGAGGTATGGTTGGCCCCACAGACAGCTGCCAGGGCTCCTCGTTAGATAAACAGAGTATTTGTCCTTAGAGACTGGATGAGTTCCCTAAGTCTGCCATAACAAAGTATCCTAGACTGGATGACTTAAAACAGCAGAAACCTATTCTCAGTTTTGGAGGCTAGAAGTCCAAAACAAAGATATCAGCAGGGCCAAACTTCCTCTGGGACATGTAGGGAAGCAACCTTCCTTGCCTCCTCTGGTGGTGCCCATTCATCTCTGGGGGTTCTTGACTTGCAACTGCAGCCCTCACATTCTGCCTCCCTTGTCCCATGGCACCTTCTCCCTGCACCTGCTTTCTTTTCTGATCAGGACACTGCTCAAGTTGGATGAAGGACCCACCTCCACTACAGTAATTAACTAATTACATCTGTAAAATCCCCATTTCCAAGTAAGGTCACACTCCGCAGTTCTGGGGATTACATCTTTTACATATCTCTCTGGGGGACACAATTCAACCCATAACAGAGACACCGGTTACTTTCACTGGCCATGCTTTTCGATAGCAATAAGCCAGCCAGCACTGAGCGAAGCATCCTCTCCTGTCTCTGGGAGGAAGAGAATGAAGGAAGAGAATGAAGGTGACCTTGGTGCTTGCCTCAGATTCCACTTCAGCATGCACCTTGTCAAGCCTTCACCTGCTTTCTTACTCTGCCTGGTGACTACTTGACCCCTCTGTGACCCCTCATCTCCTAGAGGGGCACACTGTGTCTGAAACTCGGCCCCATGACCAGTTGCCATCCTGCATCAGACTGTTTATTAGTTCTCAGAGTCCTCACCTGTTGTCACACAGGCAGCACTGAGTCTATCTGAAGAGTCCACTGGGGACTGTCCTTTTGTACCTCTCCATCCCACACCCCATCTACACTGCCCTAAAAGTACCATGTTATTTTGCAATTTAGCTTAAAGAGTTTGACCTCAGAGATGATGGGTCACGTGTAGCTCTCCTGCCAAAGCCTCTGCAGCTATTTACCGATGCCTAAAATTATTTTTACAAAGGAACAGTGTCATTCCTTCCACAAACCTTGATTGAATACCTAATATATACCAGATGCTGTGCTATGTAAAATCAGGGATAAAAGACCTCAAGTGACTGATTCAAATTCAAGCATATGAAAATATTGCCTGAGACCCTTTGGGCTGTGATCACAAAACAGACAGAAATGTATTCCTCGGAGTTCTGGAGGCTGTGAAGTCCAGGATCGAGGCACTGGCAGATTCGGTGTCTAGTGAAGGTCGACTTTCTGTTTCACAGATGGTGCCTCCTCATTGTGGCCTCACGTGGTGAAAAATATGACGGCCCCTCTCTGATTTCTTCTAAGGGCACTAACCGCATTCATGAGGGTTTTGCTGCTTTCATAACCTAGTCACCTGCCAAATCCCTCCCTCCTAATGCCATCATCACCCTGGGGGTTAGGATTTCAACACGCGAATCTGGGGAGATACAAACATTTGGAGCACAGCAGTGCCATCTTTAACGTAATCAGGATCTGCTCCAGTTCTGCTGCTCAAACAGGAGAGGCACCGAGGAGCTGAGAGATGGGAAGGCGGAGTCCTTGCTGCTGTATCAACGAAGCCCAAGTGAAGGCCGGGAGCAGGAAAGACAGGAAATTGCCTCACAGTCAGCCCAGGGCCAGGGATCCCTCTACAAAAGCCCACAGAGCTGTGTGGAGAGCTCAAACTATATGTAATGCTAGTAATTCCCATTTATTGAATACCTGTGTGCCCAGTGCCAAGTTAGCTACGTTACAACAGCCTCATATAGCATAAAATACTGTATTAGTCCATTTGGGCTGCTATTACTAAACATCACACACAACAGAAATGTATTCCTCAGAGTTCTGGAGGCTGTGAAGTCCAAGATCAAGGCTGGCAGATTTGGTGTCTAGTGAAGGTCGCCTCATTTTTCCTATTTTAGTACACAATAAATTCATGCATGTGGGGAAAGAAAACCCACTGAAAATATTTGATGATACATCTGAAAACACATTTTTTTTTTTTTTGCATGTGGTTCATGGACTATCACTTCTCCATTACAAATCATCTATTTGTTTTTCTATCTAAATATTATGCTCCATCTATCTCTGAAGATATGTTTTTATCTTTATTAATATCTGGAGATATATATATATATATATATATATATATATAGTTATGTCTCCCTCAGTTTATTCAATATTTTACTTAAGAGAATTTATATTTACATGCACTTTTAGACTATGTTTGTTCATTGGTTATAGAAATTATCTTCATCCTGTTGGGTCTTTTTGTAATATGTATTAGGAAGTGATGGTTAAAATACAATGTTGACTACAAAACAAATTTAATGATTAAAAAGCATATAATGTACCACTTACTGCATTTACGTGCATCACCTAAATTTGAGTTAATTTTATAGTGTTGTGTTAGAATTGCGATTAGCAAAGGCAGTCACATGCAGTACAGGTCTGAAGATTTAGATAAAAGGGCAGAGCAATTTTTCTGTTTTTCATGCATTACATTTATGCAAATGCAGACAATATATAATAATAAATCAAATTATTTCCATTGACATAAAAATCTGACCAATTTTTATAGGAGAGATGACTTTAGTTTCTACTTCTCAAATAATTTTAGGCCTTTTTTTTTTTTTTTCCACAACGTGCCACATACTCTTAAAAAATGTATAGAATGCCACAATTTTGTAAGCACTAACAGGAACACTTATTTTTATGACCCAGAAGACAGGGATCCTACATATTAAAGAGTTACTATGTTAAAATGACAGCGAGAGCTGTGTGTAAGAAATATGGAGTAATTTATGAGAGCAGCTCATCAGTATTCACAGAGATTACTCAAGCTTAGTATCCACATGCAAAAGAATGCTGAAAAGCAGCCCCTTTTTGTCCTATTACTGGTTTTATTTTCTCCACGGGAATCACCAGCTCACAGGAAGTCTTTTCTAAAATTCTAGGTGGGATTATTCAGAGCTAACAAAGGCTTTGCGTTACTAAATAGTTTATACGTTCAAAACTAATATTTAGGTGAGTGACAGTTTCTAAATCCAATATCATTAGAAAACCACAGGTTTTAAGAAATTTATTTTCCATTTAGATTAAGGTACACTTTGCTCATAGTAAAATTCACTCTTTCGGGCATAGAGTTCTTAGAGTTTGGAAAGACAGTTGTGTGACCACCACGACCATCGGAATCCAGAACAGTGTCATCACCCCCAGGTTTCTTTTGCAGTGACTTCCTCTTCAAACCCCAGTCCTTGGCAACCACTCATCTGTTTTTTTGTGCCTATAGTTTTGCTTTTGTAAGAAGGTCATACAAATCGAGTCATGGAGTATGTAGCCCTTTGAATCCTGCCTCTCACTTAGCATAAC